GAGGGGGTCTTTTCAACCTTGAAGTCAGAATTAAGGACGCACCCTCCGAGAACGAATTCATCAGGGCATGACTCCGTCGCTGGTAGCTCGCCGGCCGGCTAAGACGAAGAAGCTTTTTCTTTCTGCGGAACGGTTTTAGATGTTTTGGCCATTTTGTTTTTGTGAACAAGGGAGAACAGAGATTGGGATATTTGGTTTTTTGGGGAAAACGAACGAAGAAACTCAAAAGCTTGAAAGTAAAATGTTCTGTAGAAGGCAGAGGAATATGAAGATTGAAAGTAAAGTTTGGGCAAGAAAGGGAAGATATATTTATAGGTTGAAGACGACTGTTCAGAACCGATAGTGGCCGACAATAACTATCAGGCATTAAATGCCTCGACATCTGAACCGACGAGATATTCCGGTCACGTATGCCGCTTACATCACGATGCTTACATCATGAAGAACCGAGGGTAAATTCGAAGACTCAATTCGTTTCTTGTCATTGCACTCCAAAAACGAGGGGACTATTTGTATACGGTTAAAATCGGGCTTGCCTAATTTTGTACGACTAACCGAAATCGGGACGGAAGATCAAGGCCCGGCCCCGGTTATATCGAAACATGGTACGGAGATGGAATGGTAAGCTCGTGGATCGATGGCCGATCAAGATCGAGGCCGACCGTGATCGAGACCAAAGCGAGAAAGAAACCGAGCAAGATCGAAGGAGGCCTGCCACGTTGAATAGCAAAAGTCGAGATATTCGTGATCGAGCGAGGATCGTGGCGGAAATCTCGGCATGTATCAAGTCAGGATAGGATATTTAGCCTATCATGTGATTTACTTCTTTAATTAGAATTATACCATAAATAGGATTTCTACTATATAAAGAGGTCTCAACCATTTTGTAAACAATATACATTCACGCATAACAAGGCAATATATTATATTTTCTCTTGCAATCTCTGTTGTTCAAGTTCATATTTTTCAATAAGCATACTCAGTTGGTTCGAGGGCAATCTAGCTTGAGGGCCATAGTTGTTCATCACATTGGTTTGCTTTATTTTACTGTTAATTCCTAGCATTAATTCTTATATTTATCAAAATGTGTCAAGTGAAATAACATATCCTTAAAATCACCTATACGTTTAATTGTTATCCGATTTTAAGGGTAAACAAGGTGTTAATGCAAAACCTCGAAGATCCATTGGATGTTAGTATTTATTTATGGGAAACTTACACAAATGTCCCAAATAAATCTCAACTTACCAACCTCTAGCCATTAGTCATAGACTTACCAAAACTAGCCAACAAAAATTAAAAACCAAATAATAGGGTTCTTTCTCTCAAAGAATCACATGCAAAAATCACCTTTTATATTTTTAAGCGTGATTAGCAACATTAGATACAAGACGGAAAGGAAATTTCATGGACGGGGTAGCAAATAAGGTGATGAAATACAAAAATCTATATAATATTCCAAAAATCTAAACAAAAAAGGAACTTTTTAATGGATATAGTTGAAATTCATTGAAAATATATAGATAAGTCAATATACAAAATTTGAGGAAGATTGGAGGTGATTTGGACTGGTTTTGTATCAAAATTCGTAATTAAATCGAGTTCAAAAAAGTCTCTGAGACACATGTATCAAACATGTATCACGCATGTATCTCACACACAAGTATACATGTGATACACAATTGATACAAATATGATACATATGTGATACACAAATGATACACATATTATTTTTTTTCATGTTCAGCTTTTACTTCGAATTTTTAATTCAAACCACCTCAAAACTTCACCAAATCATCCCAAAATTGAGATTCAAGCTCCTTAAAGTTGTGCCCAATCTATTCTAATAACACCCACTCAAACAAAGCTAAAATTTGATATTTTTTTGCAACAAATAACTAATTGGCTAATTTGGCTAATATTAGTAATATTCTATCAATTGGACAATTTTTGTAATGAGCTACTTATAAATGAACATAGCTGGTAATTTTCCTTTATTTATTAGCCGACCTATAGGGATAGTAAGGACCGAGACGCCTCTCCATTTTTTATTATCTTCGTTCTTTAATCAACTTACTCTCATGATACAGTCCTATTTAAATGTCAAACGTTCACTTTTTATTTAAATAAACAGGTGTCTTAATCATAATTGAAAAGATAGATATTGCTATTTAAATCTGTCCATCTCCATTTTTTCTAAGAAAACAGGAAGTGTATTTGTATTTTATGATGAAGTAAACATTGCTTATCTTTTCATCCTAAGAAAAATACACACAGTTGCATTTAACTACTTCTAACTGTACACTTAAACACTTAATTAAGTTACTCCACTAACTAGAGTTCTAACAGCTAACCACAGTTCTAATGAGCTAACTAACTATAGTTACTCCAATATAGAGCCAAAAATGCTTGATAATTTTCTTTTCTTATGCCTAGACCCTGATAAACAAAGTTACCTAATATCTGAGTTGAATGTTGATGTGAAGCAACACACCCGGCAAAACTTAAACAGTCAAAGACGTACCTGATTTAAAAAATAACAATAATAATATTGACCCTAAAAAACACAAAAATAGAAGTCCTGAGTATAAAAATAAGTTCACTTTAAAACAGTACAAGGTGTCTAGCCCTCAATGTGATGATCAGGACTCATGCTTAAACGGGCAAGACTAACAAATGCAACAACTTCCCCAGATATCACCAGTCTGGAATTAAAACTTTTAGTACTATGCCATCTGCACAAGATCCAAGAGCCCTTTCACCTTGGCTTCCCTGGACGAACTTGATGAGAAGTTGTTAAAATCACCTGTCGGCATCTGAAGAATATTGATCCGTTCAGTCCAGAAATGTGATAAGCATTCCATAGTCAAAGTCAGAACATTCGCCTCAAAAGTCAAGAATGCTAATACTGGATTCACATCCCAGCTGTATTTTACTCCCAATGAGTCCAGAGTTATCCTCCCTTTCAAGTTGTAATTTTTCTTCGATTAGCCAATTTCAAGTTGGCATGGAAGGACTTAGTGAACATGGATTTCAATGCGATAGGACAACCGGAGAGCTTTTATGGTCGATTTCCACAGAGCTCCTGAAATCGCATCAAACTGCAATGAAGAGCATAAGTTAAATTCTGATCATTAACAGTTCTCCCCGTCCTTCCTTCCCTGAAGAAGGCTTACCCCGTGCACGAAGTACCGCCAGGCTAGTGCCAGGGTAAGAGGAGAATGGGCTTATACCATACACAGACTTTTCCTTGCATTTATGCATAAAGGCTGTTGCCACACCTACCCCTTGGTCACCAAGGGAGTAACTTCACTGTTGCACCAATGCTTTCCCCCACCCCCTCAAATAAATAAATAAAAGTATCTTTTTCAATAATCAACAAGCAATATATGAACAATGAATTCTTAAACTATCAAGATCATTTACATCAACAGCAAAAATGTGTTCAGTTTTGGAAATGCATGAATAAAAAACAGCTGACGAACACGAACATGATGAATGAGCTAGTAGTCCTTGAAAAATTGGCTTGAATGTTAAAAGGATGACAATGCAACTTGCTACTTCAATTTTTAAAAATATCCTCATCAATATTTTGATACTTATTCCTAAAATGCACAAAATCAAAAGGCAATGTAGATCATGAAAGACCACCCCCCCCCCCCCCACCCCCCCAAAAAAAAAAAGCGAATTGAGCATAAAAATAAAATAAAAAGAAGTGGGAGGGGGGAGAATACTGAGGGTTTAACAGTCCAAAGTGACATTTAAGGTAAGACCCACCCACAAAGTTTGTCTGAGAGACAATATGGTGCATAGTAACCAAGAATGAGAAATTAGGCGATTAAAAGTAAGTTAAATAAAGGTAATAAGTATGAAATCCTGCAATAAGAAAATCAAGAGAAGAAATTTATCATTTGCCTCCAGATGATGAAGAAAGATAAAGTCCAGGTAGACTAACAAAATGTTCAAAGCAAATCCATGGATTAACTAAAACTTCTAAGGCAACTAAAACCCATTTCAGACAAGTTAGATGGTATTGATCAAAAAGTTGTTTGCAAACTCAGTTTTTGCATGTTCTCCAAATGCAATTCCAACTTCGCAGTAAGGATTCTAGAGAACAAGACAGATATTTTGTAAGTTTCTAGGAGGTAAAACTCTTCAAAACTATCAGGAGACATGTAAAATGCTACCCAAAGGCTCAAAAAATTACTATAAACCAATTTGTCTTTACAAATTCATGCGCAGTTGAACAATTAACTACATATGCATGATTTGAGCAAAATAGATTTGGAGCAACTGCCCATTTAAGCTTAAATATCAAAGTAAGAATTGCTTCACCTAACTGTGAAGAAAATCCAATAAGCCAATCAAAACATCAAGCAAAGGCTACACTTTAAACAAATTACAGCATATTATAAGATCTCCTATTACTAGGATACAGAAAAGTGAACTTGGGGTGGAAATAATAAATATATTATGGAGTTTGCTTAGTGCAAGGATACTATCCCAAGAATACAATAGAAACCAATGAGGAAGTACAGAAATATGTCAAACAAACGTACCGACGTAGTAGCACTTGTGGATTATAAGGAAACAGGTTCTTTAGGTGAAGGCTTTCAATAGATGCTTTAAGTGAAAAAAGACAGTTCCTTGCACACTCAAATGGTGATATCTGAGTTACATAATCCTCATCACAACATCCATGGGCTTTTTTGCTTTTGCTTTCAAGTGGTAAACTAACTCCACTAACAAAACTTGGCACAGCTGATATCTCTCCCTTAGAGTTATAATCATCTGCTGAAAACCTTTTTCTCTTTCTGCTTCGACCTTTTCCGTTCCATGAAAATTCCACAAATATGTTCCATGAGTCACATACCTTACGCAGGCACCTATGAGGACACAGGTAGAAATTATATGGAAAACATCAGACAGGGATAAATCAACATATTTTGTTTAGGAGGGGCTAATGTTGCTCCAATTCTCTGATTTTGAATATGCTAGTTAGATTTGGAGCAATCACCGAAAGAAATGAATATGCAATGTAAATGGAGGAACATGTGGTTATGTTTTGGTTTTTAGGATATATTAGGAAAAGAAAAATTAATTCATAAGACGATTTAAGAACTTTTGCAAGATAAAAAAGATGTTTTTTACATAGAGCTTACAACTCTTGTAATTTTTTATTATGCTACACGGTACAGCTGGAACTTCTTACATAGACTAAATTAGTGCAGATCCTATATCAGATCGTTTTACGTTCATCATACTTGAAAATTGGGAGAAAAAGATGGATTGCAAATTTGGGACTAGTATGCTTTACCATATGAAGGTTGGGCCTGTCAAAACACCATAAGTGGTACGCATATGTGATCCACTTACAGATCTTATAGCCATGTCCAAAGGAGACGAAAATAAAAATGTAGAGTCTGGTACATACCTCAAAAGATATTCAGCAGGGCTAGCTCCTGTGTCTTTTGAGATAAGATAATCAAGAAGAACTTGATGATCATAGTGTATCTGTAAGCAAGGTAACACTCAGCATGGGTAAATACTAGTATTTCGTCTTAACATCAGAAGGAGAGCAAACAACAAAGTGGACAAGGGAATGTTTCTAACTTACTCCAGCCAGGAATAGGTGAAAGAAATGTATTGGGTGAAAAAGGTGTGAAATCAGAGAAAACTCTCTCACTTCAACAGCTGAGAAAGCCACTTCATCGATAAACCTACATATAACAAGAAGCACTAAAAGAACTGCCATATACTACTTCACATCATCTCTAGAATTAAGTAATATACGTGCAACTCACTTTTGTTCAGAGTAAAATGGCAAGCAAAACATTTGCAAGAGCATTTCAAATAGTATATCATCCTACAATTTAACAGTAAAGGAAAGTCAGAAAAATTGAAGCCGGTTGGAATACTTTATCATACAAGAACAGCAAGCGGGTTTTGCGTCACAAACCACTTCTGAGATGCAAAATCAGCCAATCAAATCAACCAAATATGAAGCTTTATCTGAGCTCTATGTCCTGGACATCATTAATATAGTAGGAGGTATACTAAAACCTAGAAACAAGCTAGAAACCATTTGAAGTAGGCAATCCTCAGCCATTGGAAGTCCAATGATAACAGATGAATATCTAATGCTTAGACAACAAACCTATGCAAATGATGGATTTGAGCCAGTGCTAATCGGTGAGGAATAAACATAAAAATCTCACAGTCTAAGGATTAGTTCTCCAGATTTAGTCAAGTGGTTCCTCCAAAATTGCCGAGGAAAGAGTTACAGAAAGGGGAAAAGAGGGACAGAAAAAAGAGATGCAGAATTCTAATGCAACTGCATATACAAGGTTTTGTACCTCACTCTTGGTCGATTATAGCACCACAGGGAGCATTTAAACACTCTATATGAGTTTCCTAGTAACTAGCTAATATTAGTTCCGCTGCTCTTGTTCCCCAGCTTATCTCATACCGACAGTCAGCTCCAAAACTTATCAAACCTTGAAGATCAGATATAATTATGAAGCTGCAATTCAGCCATTTTATTTATAGGGCCCAAAAAAATAAACAAGTTAAAATAAAACAGTCATTGTGAGCAAGAGCACAAACCTCTTGCATATATAGCTGCAAGAAGGATGAGACGAAGTCCATGCATTTCTCGGAGCACATATCATGGTCAGCAAAGCTATCACCAGGGAGAAGCTCTTTGAGCCACTTGTGGAGCTCTAGCAAAGCTTTTCTTCTGCTGCAACACTTGGGATTCAGATCAAAGCTTGAGCAAGACTTAAGATTTTTACAAGCATAATGTTGATCAGTCGTCTCTTTCATGTTCAGCAAACTAGAGGAACATTTGAGGAAAAAGAAAATAGCCAGCCTTTGCAAATGCTTTGATGAAATGCATTTCTTCCCCATATCAAATGTCATTACCCCAAATGGAGAACCTTCGAGATATTTATCTAGACCAAACTCCTGCCCATCCATAGGTTGCAATAATACATCTTGAAAGTAAGTGTGGATAAGATCCAACCACGACACTACAATTGAGGGGTCCAAATGGATTTGGTTACTAAGTCGAATCATGAGTATCTGAAAAAATGAACAGTTATTGCAACCACAAACTCAACTCAGTTAAATGATGCCATTGGTGGATGTCCAAACAAAAATTTAAATATACTCATCACACCACTGTAAACAACATAAAACGCTTACACAGGAGCATATATCTATTCGGAATGGAAGAGATTATTATTACAGCAAAAGCAAAAAACAGGAACGCCTCATCACATCCACCTAATTGTAACACTTTAGATTAAACTATAGCATTTAGCATACCAAACTTTCTCCATCCGACTTCTTTTCCTATGATAGATCAAGTGTTATTGGATTCAGGGCACCAAGGGGTGTTATGCATGTACAAATGCAACATCTAAGAGAGTAAATCCTTCAATAAATTAGATAAGGACAAGTAGATGTGAGATCTAGAGAACCTCTAGGTCAACATAAGCCCCTAATTTGCCTCAATAGACAAATTATTTAGTATTAGAAAGAATAGGCTTGAATTGAACAGAATGGTTACAGAGGATTCGTACAGACCCCAATCCAATGATCGAGGCATAGTTGATTGATCCAGATAGACAACAACAACAACAACATACCCAGTATTATCCCACATCGTGGGGTCTGGGAGGGTAGTGTGTATGCAGACCTTATCCCTACCTTGTGAAGGTAGATAGATTGTTTCCAATAGACCCTCAACTCAGGAAAACATAAGCACCATATTAATTAAAAAGATAGACAAGAGGGACAACACCAAAAAGCCATGTAAAAGCAGCATAAAAACAACACGATAATAAGATGATCAAAATGAAAGAAAACGATGGGTAGTTATAGAAACCTACTACCAACAGAATGCGAGAGTGCGTACTAATACTACTGGTATGAAAAATCTACCACCTACCCTACTACCCTAATTCTCGACTCCACACCTTCCTATCAAGGCTCATGTCCTCGTTCAGCTGAAGCTGCGGCATGTCTTGCCTTATCACCTCTCCCAACATCTTCTTCGGCCTACCTCTACCTCTCTGTAGGCCCTCCAATGTCAACCTGTCACACCTCCTCACCGGGGCATCTGTGCTCCTCCTCCTCAATGGGTGTGGCCACCATTGAGCACAAGATGCCTAATCACCTCTCCCCACATCTATATTGATCCAGATAGATGTTAAATAAATTCTTTTTCACACCAAAGTTGTTTGAGAAAACTAGAGGGCGACTTTTTAATCTTCCACAATGCCCTTATAATATTCTGTTAGTTACTTTCATATACACAAACTGGGGATAAAGGGCTATATGGAGACTTCTTCCTGCCTTTTCTTGAACATTTGATGAACCAACTCTCAGGAGCAATTAAAATCAACAATAATTGCCCACCTAACAAAAAAAAGAGAGCAAATAGCGTACCAGATTCCACTAGTTCACAAAAGCACTTCACCCTGCCACTCGCATTAGATGCACAGACTAACAATTGAATTTCCTACCTTCTTGTTAAGAAGGTAATGAAATGCGTCAAAAAATTTGTATTAAAAAAAAAATTCCTAACTTCTTCCAGAAAGGATCAGTAAGAGAGGCATATTCAGCATGTCATAGGTTTTGTGATCATATAACCCTGATTAGCATGTCATTCAAATAAGTTGTACGTTGATTACATTTATCACTTTTTGAAACAAAAAAGTTTTAGGTACTACCATCAACTGCCTACACTGCCAACATTTATGAAACACTGGGCTGAGGGAAGATATCAGCTCAGGATATACCTTGCCTGTCCCCATAAGAATGTTTTACATTTCATCGCAAATTATGCTTATTGGGTAAGAGTAAACCGTAGGTAGTATAAAGCATAAAGAACAATAGCACATTGAAAAGCGAAGTCAGTACCTAAACCGCGTCTCAACTGGTGGGAAAAAGCAATGATAATTCGATAAGCTCCAATATAAAGCATAACAAGAAAAAAAAAAAGGGGGGGGGGGGGG